AGAGAGAGAGAGAGAGAGAGAGAGAGAGAGAGAGAGAGAGAGATTGTTACCTAGTCCAAGCCATGGAAATTTCTCTTATTTTCTTTTAGAAGTTTTATATTTTGGCTCATACATACATTTGGCCCATGGAACCATTTTGAACTTATGTTTGTGTAAGAGTTACAGGTCATGAGTCATTTTTCTCCCATAAAAATGGATATCTATTTTTTTCTACTGCCTCAATTGAAAGACTGCTAGGTCACGTTATGACTAAGACACAACTGCCAATCAGCCCTTTTATTCCCTTTCTGCTTCCTTTTTTTCAATTAACATATAATTATTGACTGTCTGTGTTGGGCTTTGTTTCAAATGCTGAGCATCAGCTGGGAACAGAGGGATCTGGTCCCTGGTTTCATGAAGGCCAAGAGGGCCAACAGTTTAACAAAAGAATCATATATACAATGGAATGCTGTTCATTTTTCTTTTGTTAAAATATTTTATTTATTATTTTTGTTTTTATGTGTATGAGTGTATTGCCTGCATGTATGTGAGTGCACCCATATCGTGCAATACCTCGGAAGTCAGAAGAGGGCTTCGGATTCCCCTGGAACTGGAGTTAAGGAGGGCTCGTAGCTGCCATGTGGGTGCTGGGAATTGAACCCGGGTCTTCTGCAAGAGCAATCAGTGCTCTTAACCGCTGAGCCATCTCTCCAGCCCCCACTGTTCAATTTTCAAAAGAAGGAAACCCTGTCCTGTGTTCATATATTTGCAACATGATTGGCCCTAGAAGGCATTGTGCTAAGTGAAATAAGCCAGGCACAGAAGGACAGACAGCATGCCATCTCACTTCACGTGTGGAACTGAGGAGGTTGAACTCAGAAGCAGAGTTCAGAGTGGTGGTTTCCAGAAGCTGGGGTTGTAGAAGGTGGAGCTGAGGGGTGTTGAACAATGAGAAAAACGAAAGTATTCAATGTAATAATAAGACTAGAGCAAAATGAGACAGGGTTAGGACCAGCATTAGGGTGTGCCGGGGTGAGATGGAGGGGGGATACTGAGAAGGCAACCAATGAGCAGAGACCTAAAGGATGGGAGATGGCTGGGCCTCAACTTTTTACAGGTGGCCATTTAAAGCAAAGGCCCTCATCCCCAGCACCGCCATGACCAGCCTGGCCTCCCCTGTAGAGTCCACTGTTATGGCAGGGGCCCCTATAGAGCCATGTCCTATCAGATGTCCACCACATTCCCTTCTGTTTTCTAACTGCTCCAGCACTGCTCACAAAGCTTCAAGGAGATTGGGAATGACTTCAGAGATCTGTCTCCTTCATTCGTTTCTTTAATCCAAAGCACATTAAGTGTTCTTGGAACAACACTACACCCCGGAGAAACAGAGGAATGAATGCACAGACATGGTTACTGCTTCAGCAGTGGCTGGTGTGAGAGGAGGTTTACACACACTTAGGACAGGAGGTCATTGCTCTGCTGGCAAGAAGCACCTCAGGGTGGCTGGGCAGTAACAGCTCTTACTGTTGTATGGCTGCTGGCCTATGCGGTTTTCTCCCAGGTTTTGGGGAAAAACAAAGACACCAGACCCACTGGAGAGAGTGGGATTTGCATGCATTATCCCATTTAATTCTCCTGAAATGCAAAGTTTTCTTTTTTTAATCTATAGCCCAGAGAGGTCAAACAACTTACCTAGAGGCACAGTGAACACTTGATAATGCCAGAACTCTCACTTGGGGCCTCCAGTTCCACTGGCCAGATCTTCCCCCTTGAACCCCCACCTGACAGCTACGATGCCTCCCCAACAGATGAGCCACTTCCTCCTGTCTGTCAAGGCCTGCCTTCCTCCAAAGGAGCCTCCAGCTCTGGCCCAAATCAGTCCCTCCTGTCCTCCCCCACTGCCAAAGCACTAATTAGCACCCCTGGCATTATGGACTCCAGTGTGAGTGAGCAATTGTTCACAGCTTCCCTCTCACTCTCTTGCATCCCTCAAACCCTGAAAGCCTGGCTCTAGGCTATTTCCCTGGGAGGGGTAGGTTGGATGGGGAAGGGAAGCTGTCTAGAGCTTTAAGTGTCCATGTGGAGAGAGTGGCAGCCAGCAGCACCGTCCCTTCTGAAAGGAGCCTCCAGGCAGCCTCTCCTCCAGTCCCAGCCGGCACAGCCTTCCTGACTTGGCATTCTGCTGCGGTGCATATTTGGTTTGAATATGATGGATTTCAAGAGCAGTGGGCGCTTCCAGCATGAGACTCCTGTCTGTCCAAACTGCCTTGTTTCCAGCGGCAGTTTCCATAATAAGTAAACAGAACATTTGTATGTTTGCTGTACTTAAATATTAGTGTTATTCCCTTTATGCATTGCAGTTCTGTTCAACATTTCTTTTGAAAGGTTCGTCTCTTTAAAAAGAAAGTTTATAGCATGAGGGAGGTAACTCAGCTGGCAGAGCGCTTACCTAGCATGCCAGAAGCCCGAGGTTCAAATCCCAGCACTCCATGAACTGGGAGTATGGTGTGTGCTTGTCATCTTAGCATAAGGGAAGTGGAGACAGAAGGATCAAGAGTGGAGGGTCATCCTCAGCTACAGAACAAGTTGGAGACAAGCCTGGGATACTTGAGACTCAATTTAAAAAGAAAAAAAAAGTTTAGACCTCAAAGATTCCAACATTACTGCCTTGTTGCTACCACTGTGGTCCAAGGACCTGCAGCCTTGGGCATGGCCCATGGTGAGGATGTCAGAGCCATCATTTACTGCTTCCACTGCCCCAGCATTCCTATTACAGGTGTGCACCACCACACCCAGCTGTTTAAATGGGTGCTGGGGACAGAAACTCAAGCGCTCTGGCTTGTATGGTAAGCAGTTTACTGACTGAGCATCTCCCAGCACCCCTGCCTCACTTTATGATAACACAGTAGTGTTGTCACTTTTTTGTGATACAACTGTGTCATCACTTACTGGGCATTTGTCTACTTCACAGGACCAAGAGCCCCGGGAGGGCAGGGATCTGTCTACCTCTAGCCTTTATCGTATCCCCAACCTGATATAGCTCAGGTCAGAAATATGTGATGAGCAACTGAAGAGGGTTGTGAGGTCAGAAGAGGCAGAGCAGGTGGAAGCACGTGATGCAGAACTCATTGCACAGGCACTAGGTGAGAAGCTGGAACGTCGTCCGTCGTATGCAGGCTGTAGTCAGTCTCCAGCAAGCCTTACCTGACGCCCACATGGAGGTGGAAATTTCAAATAAATAGAGTGGTGACTGCAGACAGCTTCAGAGGGGCTGGCAAGAGTTTGCTGGGGTTGCTACACGGCTGGAGAGGGCACTGAGCAGCCAGAGGGATAGTGACGGCAGATATCTGTGGGTGGTAACTGAGAGCAGCTGAGGTCAGGGTCACACACTGTGGAGGCTAAGGCCGGCAAAGAGGTGGGTGGTGAGCGCAGGGAGCTGGTGCTGAGCTGCAGGCAGCTGGAAGGAAGGGCTACTCAGGTGGAGAGCTGGGAGCAGAAGAGCCTGTGAATACTCACTCATGTCTGTGGTAGTGGCATGCTTGGACCACATAGGCCCTAGGACTCTTCCACAGCACCCGCCCTGCTTCCTCCCTTTACCTAACAAAGTATGCCAAGGAGACCCCAGAGGATGTCTGTCCCCCGAGTCCTCAGACAAAGTTTGTCCACAGTCCCGGGTGATGTCCTAGGACACCAATTTCCTTTCCTCCCGTGGTCCAGCCTTTTGGTTCCTAAATGGGCTGTGCTACTCTTTTGGAGAGCCCTTCCCCCTTCCTTTCAGAACTTAATTCCAGTTTGACTTTCTCAGAGGGCCCGAGTCAGAGTCTGCTTCTCCATCCTCCTCCAGTTCTTCATCCTGAAAAACACTGATTATGGTCCTTTTGGGCATACCTGTCAGGCTTTCTGGGAGCTTCCAGAAAGCATGAACCATGACTCTGTGACCACTGCAGACTTAGCACCTGGTCCAGAATCTGGTATGCAGCAGGTGCTCACACATAAACAGAGGATGGATGGAAGAGCTGAACCCATGGCTTAGTGGACAGAGGTGGAGGAAAACAAAGTAGCTCTCATTAATTGAGAGCCTACTGTGTGTCAGGCCCCATGATCCGCTATCTCCTTCTAGCAGATATGTATACTTCAGCCTTTGTCCATCTTTCCAGAGAGTTGGAAGTTCCCCATTTCCTCCTGCCTCTTCCAGGAGGAATGAAACATTCCTCCCTGCCCTCTGCCACAGCTTCTCTGTAGCAAGGAAGGAGCCAGTGGCCTCTAGACCTCAGTCTACAAATGCTAGGAGAGGGCTTCACCTCGAGATGATCCATGAGGTCCAATTGTGCCAGAAGTGACCTGCACAGTGACAAGGCCACTTGCCATAGCCAGTAAAGTGTCTTCCTGGTTCTTCTTGACTCCATGTCACATGCTCCATCTGCCTAAGCTGTCTACCAGATTCTTACACATCCTGAAAGTGGCACACCACCTAGATTCAGGCAGTCACACAGTCCACTTAGAGACATCAAGGAACGATAGCCTTTAGAAAGTACTGGCTGGATGCAGGCATTGCTCTGAACTGAAGCTCAGAGAGGTGAAGGAAGCTGCCCAAGGTCACACAGCCAGCTCATGACAGAGCTGGGCTCTGGGCCCTGGCAGGTAGGCTCCAGGGTCCTTGTTATAACAGTACCCCTGTCACAGATGCACAGCACAGCCAGACAAGACACAGACTCATAAAATTTACACCCCCATACACCACACACACACTTTCCCAGTGAAGCGAGCCCATGACTCTGGCCTTCTTCCTATTTCTACCCCCGGAGTGCATTTAGCACCCTCCTCCCCTAGCTGACTAAAAGCCTTCAGAGCCAGAAAGGGTCTCTTAGGTACTACTCAGCTCTCTCTCAAACGCATCTGCATCGGCAGTCTTTCTGTGGCCTGACGAAACTGAGGCTGGGTTAGCCCTGCCCTTGAAGTTCCCTTGGATACTGTGGGACCCACAGCCAGGGTTGGCAGGGTTCTTTCTCTGAAGCCCAAGCACTCACGGCAGTAAGCGAAATGCCTCCTGTATCTCTGTCCCATTAATTCCAAGGTGAAGAGGGCCCGAGTCCTGTCTGGTATAGCTGGCCTTATATCTCACCAACTGGGCACAGGGTAGGCACACACACAGCTGGCAAAGAACCAAGCAGGGACAGAGGAAGCCAGCAGGAGAGGAGGGAACAGGCAGGTGCCCAGAGTGACAGAAATCCAGGTGGGAACGGAGCTTCTACAGGAGCACAGGTCTGTGATGTGGCAGGTGGGTGGCTGCTCTTGAACCTGATTCCTTTACTTCCTGGCTGTGTGGTGTTGGGCAAGTGGCTGGGCTCTCTGTGTTTCGGGCTTTTCTTCTGTAAAATGGAGATGGTGACAGAACTCTCAGGGTTGTTGAGAGGATTGTTGTTAATGAGGCAATCTTGCAGAGAACTTCTTACAGTGCCTAGGATATCGTAAGCGTGTGGTAAATCTTATTACCCATAGTGACCATGATGAAGATTAAGCTTCCAAAGAAAAGTGGGTTGTGTCAGGGTAAGGCTAGGACTTAAGGAGCCCAGGGGCAAGTCTGGGACTCAAGGGGGCCCAAGGGTGAAGTAGGAACATAAGGATGCCCAGGGGTAAGGCTAGACCCAAGGAGGCCTAAGGGGAAGTTGGGACTCAAGGGGGCTCGGGGTGAAATTGGGATTTAAAGACGTCCCAGAAGTAAGCTGAGAACTTGAGGGGCCCAGGGGCAAGGCTGGGTTCTCCACAGGGCCCAGGGGCAAGCTCAAGGGGCTCAGGGGCAAGCCTTTTATTCAACAGGGCTGAGGGACAAGCTTGGGCCTCAAGAGGGCCCAGGGGCAAGTCTGGGTTTTAAGGGACCCCAAGGGCAAGACTGACTCTTGTATACGCTTGTATCACTCTGGCTCTGAGCGCCTACAGTTCTTCAGATGGGCTGTCTGCTCTTGGCCTTTGCATCTCTGTTCCTTCTGACTAGAGTGTTCTTCCTTCAGTCTCTTTGAATGAACCCCTGCTTAGCCTCAGTCCTCACACTTAAGCTTCACTGCCTGGAAAGGCCTTCTTGGTCTGGCTTAGATGTCCTTTCTTGAGACTCCTAAGGCCACCTATACACCCCATCAGGACCTTTGTGCCTTATATGGGACAATGATTATCCCCAACTGTCTTCTATGAAGGCAGGATCCCTGTGCATCCTTCTCAGAACAGAATTCCCCAAGACTCACGAGCTGGGACCCTGGGTACTAAACAGACACATGGAGAAAGAAGGAAAGAAACACTGGTATGTTTAGTAATAGTGATGGCCCGTCAAACCCAGGTGTTGTTTCTTGCAGACTATGATGTTAATTTTGAATATCAAACTGATCAAATTAAAGAAAGATCTACCTGGTCTATTAGTGAGGGACAACTGAGGGTTTTTCCAGAGAGAATTAGCTGCTTGGAGAAGACCTGCGCTGGACGTGGGCAGCCGTCCCGCGGGTTAGAGCTCCAGACTGGATAAAGAGGGAAAGAGGAGAAAGCCGGGTGAGTGCCCACTCCCACTTTCCTTGCTCCTTCAGTGGCCCAGATGTGAGCAAGCTCCTGCTGCCATGGTTTCCCATCATGCATGACTGTATTCCCTCAAAGTATCAGCCAAATAACACCATCCTCCCTGAGTTACTATGTCACAGAAAAGAAGCTATCAGAAGGACCAAATCCCCACTCCTGTCCTAGCACCTGGAAGGCAAGAAATGTGCCCAGAGCATCCTGTGGATCAGGCTTCCTAATATTTAACCCTATCTTCTCCCTCAGTAGCTGCAGGACCAGCAAAGTCACTGAACTTTTATCTTCCTCAAGTTTTTCCTCCATGAAATGGAAACAGTAACTCTCTGCTTGGAGCTGCCAGAGGACACGTATTACCCAGGAGGAATGCTAGGGGACAGAATGCTGGTAAGGATGGAGTCTGAGCATCACCCGCTAGAGTCCCCTGTCTCCACGGGGTCGTGTCCTTCCCAGTCACCTCAGACAGCCCCATATCAGCTGGTCCTATTTACTAATCTGACCACGCCCAACCCATTCTACTTGCAGACTGAGTCCTGTGCACAGGGGTATCTCTGATCATCTCTACCCCAGCACCCTACACAGGACCCCACCCAGAGTAAACTCAAGTCCTTCCTCTCTCCCTCCCTTCCTCCCCTCCCTTCTTCTCTGGCTTCCTCCTTCCTCCCCTCTCCCCTTCCTCCCCTCCTCTTTCCAACTTCCCAGCTCCTAACTAGCCTCTTTCCCTTCTCCCCTCCCTTCCCACCTCTCTCCTTGAACACTAGCGTGGGATATAGACCTATGCCTCTCGCCCCTTTCTCCTGCTACTCTCCCGTGTCCCACCACCTACCACTTCTACTGAACCCAGGTCCAGAGGTACAAGAAGAACTTCAAGGAAGCCGAAGCAGCATCCACAGAGCACGTTCTGGATGTGAGAACTGCTAGATGCAGGGGCCATGCACTGGTCACTTTGTGGAATTTTAAATCTACCCAAGGAGGTGGCACTGGTGTTTCCATCTTATAATTGAGGGCCAGAGCAACCCAAGGCTGCCCATTGTCACATCCTAGCAGAGCCAATGGCCTCATCCCAAGTATAAGGCTTCTTCAGCAAAACTCCCAGCCTGATGCTGGACCAGTGAGAGTAGTATTTAGGAGCAAGGAGGCCCAGTCCACTCAGGTCCCATCAGGCGGTGACGCCTCCCTCCATCACTTCTGCCTTGAATCAGGCCTGCTCTGAACTGGAGTAGACACTCTGAGTCCTCTGGGTCAGAAGATGCTCCAGGTAGGCAGAGGAGCCTCAGCTCATATGGGTCACAAAAGTCAAGTTAGAATCAGGGGGGAGGGAGGAGGAGGGGGAGGAGGAGGAGGAGGAGGAAGCCAGAGGCCACACCCCCGGGATGAAATTTGTAGGTAAGGTATGCCCAGGCCAGGCATCCTCCAGGTGGGTCCTGAGACCCACTCTCACCTGGGTGTCCTGCCTCCTATACCAGTTCCCACACAGGGCTTATCAGAGAACATTCAAGCCCACTTTCCCTCTCTTCCTCCTTGCTTCCCTCCCTTCTTACTTCCTTTTTTGCTCCCTCCCGTAGATAAGTGGTTCAAGAGCAATGATGAGGAGTCGTTCACCTTTGCCCGCATGCTGATCGCACAGGAAGGGCTGCTGTGTGGTGAGTGGCCGGGTGGGCCCTGTGGGTGGCGAGGTAAGGGACAGTACCAGCTGTGTGCCCTCTGCTGCCTTGCAGTCCAGAGCCATGAAAGCCATGGTCATGCTTAGCCTTCAGGACTGCAGCACGTGCCCTTCTCAGGTAGGGCTGTCTATTTGTCCGTCTGTCCAGGCTCTTAGCTCAGCCTGCTTGTCCTCTGCAGCCCCTTGGGGGCCACTGTGCAGATGAGAGCAGGAGGCACGGAGCAACGGCTTCAAACTGCCCTTCTTCCCTCCCTCCCTGCCTCCCTCCCTCCCTCCCTCCCTCCTTCCTTCAACTTCCCATCTCCTAACTGCCCCTACTTTGGGGTTCATCAACCCGTGTCTAGACCCTTGTCAGCTTGTCCTTAGTCATCTCCTGCCCCTGTTCTTGACTCCACACTCAATCCCAGCCCTTGGCTCAACTGGGTCTCAATGTGGCAAATGGAACCCTGAGCAATCTGCGCCTTGAGCTTCCTTGGCAGGTTGAATCAGCACATTCCGCTCAGCTGTGACAGCGACTCTGGTTCCTTGGCTCAGCATCAAAGGCCCTGGAATGATCAGCAAATAGCTTTTCAAAGAGTAGAGAAGTGAAATATTTGAGGACATAATTTTTAATTTCAGTTTGGTGCCCTGTGCATTTGGGTGTCAGGAGGGACATTTGTGGAGCTGCCGGCACGGGGAGCATGTGACGTCAAGCATCCTCAGTAGCCAGGCTGGGAGGCAGCCGAGGCAGCAGCAGAGAGAGTGGAGTGCGGTCTGAGCATCTTTCTAACTGGAGGGCTGTGGAGTTCAAGTTCACTTTGGAATCCTCGAGGCAGGGCCACCACCAAACATAAAAGGAGCATCTATGGATACCACAGAAGAGGGCACACTGTCCATAAGTCCCTGGACTACTATGGAGGGAAGGCCACAGGTGGTCACTTGCATAGCACCTGTGGACTCTGTGTGTGGTGTTGCCTCTATCTAAAGCAAGCTGGCACATGGAATTTTATCACAGCAAGACTCTGGGTAGCAAGACATTGTATGGTATTCCCCAACTTACGTGACATTCTGTGTGAGTTTGTGCATGTGAGTATGTGTGCACGTGCCAGTGAGAACACTTGGAAGGGGAAGGGCTCATAGATCTATTTCATGTCTTTGCATTCTCAGATCAGCCCATTCATTTACTGCAAACACAATTACTGTATACCAGGTCCTGTAGGGACTAGGGATAGAGCAGTGAACTAAACCAAGCGTGTATCAACTCTGATTCAATAGAAAGCTAATAATAAAAAGATGTGTCCATCGGGTGTTGGGTGATTATATGTGTCATGGAGAACCAAGCTTGTTGAGAGGCATACAGGGGGATGGACGGGAGTACAGTTGGGTAGAGCAGATCAGGTAGGGTTTCCCTGGAGCCTGGGATGGATCCTAAGAACATGCACAGGGGCCCTCCCTCTCCTCTCCGAACTCAGCCTGCACTGGCTCCTGCAGGACAGGCTGGAGCTGGCTGGCTCCAGGCAGGTGTATGGAGCTCCAGCAGTGCAGAGTGCCTGGCCTGAGCTGGCTGAACGGAGTCCACTCAGCCCCCTCCTTGGATGTACCTGGCTCACAGTGTCTATGCTCTGTGCTGCCTTTGTCCTTTGCCTTATGAGACACTCAAAGGTAGAGGGAACATTCATTCAAATGAGCTACAGTGACAGGGGCCAGAGCTCCAGTCCTGAGATGACTTCTGGGAGAAGCTTCTGGAACCCAGTGACTTCACTGTGCAGGTTCTGAGATGGTCCTGGTCATCCTTTCTGATCCTCAAAGTAATGCTCAAATTTTTGCAGGGGTTTTTCCTCAGCCTGTGCTGAGACAGCCAATGCTCAGCCCTTGACTTGGGCTACCTGTTGTCCAATGGAGGATGCATACAGGAAAAGATGCATAACAGATGTATAACACTGGACAGGCCACTTAAACACCTCTGGGCCTCAGTTTCTTCATCTATAAAATGGCGATAGTCTTCTGAGGCTTTTGCAAGGATTTAATGGACTACAATATACGGAGTACTTAGTCCATGTAGTACAACTCACTCCTTGGGGACAAACAACCTGACTTGCTTGTATTTGTGGACAAACAGCCTGACCTGGGCCCATTGTGGTGCCTGGTTGTAGATGTAGGTTCATAAGAAAAGTCAGGCTGAGCAAATGGCAGGACGAATCCCTTCTGCATGTGGAGTTCAGTTTCTGGAGCCATGTGAGATTTGTGCATGCCCATGTGACCCACAGACAACTCTCGCAGGCTGCTATAAAGTCATCCCCAGCACCTGGTCCTGTGAGCCTCTGCATTGTGTATTTGAGCCTTTGATATACAGGGGATGTTTGCCAAGGGAGAAAAATGTTATTGGACATTTTTTTTTGTGGTTGTAAAGATTACTTCTTGATGAAAACACACACAAAGAAAGACTTACAAGCTGCCCTTAAGGTAGGCAAATGAATGATATGTGTTTACAGCATCTGAGCCTTTGCTCTGGGCTCTCAGCTCTGGCAGGCCTGGAGCAGAGGTGGAGAAGCATCTGCAGCCATGTGTCAGGGCTGAGGTCAGCCTGCGCCAAAGCCACAGAGGCCATGGTTTGAATTTCACCCTCCTCTTTTATCTTAGCTTGTTTATGTTGTCCTACTAAGGACCCAGCCTCTTCTCTGATGTCTAGTCTGGTCTACGCCCTCTTCCCAAGCTGGAGGGAGTGTCCACTGTTTGTGCATGAGGTGGAGGGGGGGTCTCAGGTCTTTCCCATGTGAGAGCCACTTCCTGAACTCTAAATATAGGCAAGCATGCATGGTTGTCTCTTTAAGGCCCCTCTTGCTCTGAGTGCAGTTTCCTGCATGTGAGAGGCAGACAAGATGAGGTTGTAGGGAAGAGGAAGAGCCATCGTCTCCAGACAGCTGCATACACTTGACTTCTCATTGTCAACGTGATGGAATTTGAAATCACCTAGGAGACACACCTCTGTGACATTGTTTCCAGGGGTGTTTAACTGAGGAGGAAAGACCCACCCTGAGTGTGGGCAGCACCATCCCATGGCCTGGGGTCCCAGACTAGATAAAAAAGAGGAAAAGCAGAAAGCCATGAAGTGCCAGAACTCCCTTACTACCTGCTCCCTGGTCTTCCCAGATGGGAGAAGTCCCAGTGGTGTGCTGCCACCGCCATGGGCTCAGCCATACCATCTCCACCATGGTGGACTCTGCTCTCTCAAACCATGAGCCAGAATGAGTCCTTCCTCCTGCAAGTTGTATTTTATCCTATATTTGGTCACAGCAACAGGAAAAGTAACTGATACTTTTCCTATGCTCACCAGAGCACTGCCCTTCTGCTGGTGGGAGCCTTGTCTGAGTCAACCCCAGAGCACCCCAGGCCTACAGAGCCTAGTTAGACCTACATGGATGGGTGAATAAGGAGGTGCAGGTTAGTCTCTCCAGGCTACTTTTGACCCCCCATCTCCTTGCATGCATCACGCTTGACCTCTTCCTCTTTAGCTGCATAGCTGCCTCCTCTTTTTCCCTTCCATTGTAGGAACCCTTTGGGGCCATTCCAGGGTGCTGGGCAATCAGCCCCCCACCTCCTAAGGCAGCTGGGTTCTGGTGTGGCTCAAGCTGGTTGAAGAAGGGGTTAGAAGCAGACAGGGCCTAGGTCAAGATGGGTGGCCAGGAGCTGGGACTTGAAGCATCAAGGGACAAGCTGCAGTCCTCTCTCAGCTTGATACATATCGGTTTCTTGTTCCCACTATAGTAAATCGCTATAGACTGGGTGGCCAAGGACAACACAAGCGTGTTCTCTTTCAGTTCTGTGGCCAGAAGTCCAAAGTCAGTCTCACCAGTCTAAGGCTAGTCAAGCTGTGGGTGGGGCTGGTGCCTTCTGGAGGCTTGGAGGAGAATGTCTTTGATTTCCTTTCTGTTTCTTGGATGATCTCATTCCTTGGCTGGTGACCCTCCCCGATCATGAAAACCTCCTGTTCCCAAGGTCACATCTTCTGCCACTGACTCTAATTCTCCTGTCTCCCTTTCTTCAGGACCCCAGGGACACTGGGACCTTCTGGATAATCCAGAGTCATCGCCCTGTCTTTGTACCAAAATTTTTAAATTTCATTTATTTTATTTTATTTTATTTTATTTTATTTTATGTGTATTAGTGTTTTTCCCACATGTCTGTAAGTGTACCACATGCATGCAATGCCTGCAGAAGCCAGAAGAGTTGTTTTGAATGCCCTTGAACTCGAGTTACCGATAGTTATTACTGCCATGTGTATGCTGGGAATGGAACCCGGGTCCTCTGGAAGAGCAAGTGTTCTTAACCACTGAGGCATCTCTCCAGCCCCTCCCCATCTTAGTTATACTGTCAGGGTCTCTTAGTGTGGATCATTCCATGCCCAGGTCCGGTAATTATGGTGTGAATAGATATCTTTGGGTACGGTTACTATGAAGCCAGCCAGCGTGAAAATGAAAAACTGTGAATAAATAACCATGAAATAAAGGAATTCCTATGAGCTCTAAGGTTGCAGTACGATACAGACTGAACTAAGAGGTGTGATAGGATCCTGCTTTGCCTCCGGAGCCAGCAGGGCTGGGCCTAATCCTGTTCCTTCTTCCTCTACTCACATCTACCACATTTTGGTCTTTTTGAGACAGTCTCCCTGTAGTCCCAGCTGGCCTGGAACTCACTATGTAGACCAGGCTTGCTTTGAACTCACAGAGATCTGCCTGTCTCTGCTTGGATTTAAGGCGTGCAACACCACGCCTGGCTTTCCCATCTGCCTTTTAACCAGACTCGACCCTGCTTAGCTTCCAAGATCAGTTGGGCTCAGTGTTTATCCTTTTCTCATGTCCTGTCAGGGTTCACTGTGTTGCGTGCTGCCTAGTCACCAGTGAGTTCCTACAGTGCCCACTGTCCATTCTCCCTGCCTGCCTTTGGCCAGGACAACATTTAGGGGTCAGCAGATATGAGTGGTTGTCAGGAACCTAAATATGC